CAAATATTCTCTCGATTCAAATGACGCGTCAAGATTCAAATTATGAGATTGATCAAGCACAATCATTCCAGAATCACTTCACTCAAAGATCATGGAGCATCTAGAGAAAATCAAGAGAAACACATACGAGCATATTCAAATTGAGCAAGACAGGATTGAAGGAATCAGAATGAATTGATCCTTGGTTTAATACCCTGAAACACTTGTTTGGGACTATTTATCATTTTCTTTCATAACCATAAACCATGACCTACATTACGTGCCTTAAAAGTCCATTCTAATCATACATGGATTTCTAAACAGAATATATTATCTACATATTTTATCCCGCTCATCAGGATTAATCTTTATTTACAAAAGGTTTTCTAAAATCTTTAATGCATGATAGAGAAAAATAACAAAGGAGGGTTCAAGACGTAAATTTTGAATGAAGTCTTGAGACCAAAGGAGGATTCGAGTTGAAAACCTGAAAAGGAGGCTCGAATATAAAAATTGTGCAGCTGAGGCGATCACACAAATTCCTTGATAAGACATCGCACAATCTGATAGTGACCATGAAAGTTGGGAGTCAGAGAACACTTCCAGTAGGGGAGGATACAAGTTACCCAATCAAACCATTGAGCATCAAATAAACAAAAATGCCAAACATTTTACCAAACACAATAACCTGAGACTTTTTTATCCTTTCCTTACTTAACCATTTCTCAAAGATAGCTTTGATCTTGACACTTCTCAAATAGTTATAATTTATTGAAGGATTAACAATGTAATTAATTCTTTGATATCCAATGAACTCTAGTTTTATGATTCGTCTCAATTATGAAACTGAGAAATGAGCAATATTTTCAAAACTTTTGATCAAACATTTTTCAAAACTATTCTAATTGATATTTTTAGATCTCGAAAATAAAAGAAGAAGAAAAACATTTTTTCAAACAAGACAATCTCTTTAGAGTGGATCTTGGTAAATGATATGTGGCTCTCTGACACAAAGCTCATGCTTAGAATCAATGCTGAAGCAAGAAGTGAGGAACAATGGGGGCATCTTTGAAGATTCAACATCAAATGTTGGGGCATTTTTGGAGATTCAACATCGAATATTGGGGCATCTTTGTGGATTCAACATCCTGATGCGAATTATCAGATCTTCTGAAGATTTTTCCTCCACATGCAGGGACAGACAAACAAAGCACGAGATTCCACCAAGAGATAAAAAAAGATCTAATTCATATTACATGCATCTTAGACATACTTCAGAACATCACATTCATCATTTTTTGCATACATAATTTTGTAGCTTTCAGAGTCAATTTCAACTTCACAACGAAGGATATTGGACTCAACAAATGACTTTCCAGTTTCATTCAGAGTCAATTTCAACTTCATAGTAAAGGATATTGGACTCGAAACAATGCAACTTACACAAGCTTGGATTTCAACTTGACGACGAAGGATATCCAATTCAAAGCTCAACTTCACAACGAATGAGCTATCCACGATTTCAACTTCACGATGAAGGATATCGTGCCCACAAGCAACAATGCAACCCTTGGATTTCAACTTCAGGATGAAGGATATCCAATTCAAAGCTCAACTTCACAACGAAGGAGCCATCCACGATTTCAACTTCACGACGAAGGATATCGTGCCCACAAGCAACAATACAACCATTGGATTTCAACTTCACGATGAAAGATATCCAATTCAAAGCTCAACTTCACAACGAATTAACCATCCACGATTTCAACTTCACGACAAAGGATATCATGCCTAATGGGTCGACTTAAAGTCATTTGCAATAATAGGGATTCATTCCCCAGCCCAGTACATCATAACTCATGGCGAGAAGGGTTATCTGTCAACCAAGACCTTTGAGTTTGATTACACTCAGCTCAAAGGGATATCAAATTTACAGCATAACTCAAGGCGAGAAGGGTTATTTGTCATCAAAGACCCTCAAGTTCGATTACATTCATCTCAAAGGCAGGTCAAATTCACAGCATAACTTCAGTCGAGAAAAGTTATCTGTAAACAAAAGTTATCGGGTTCAATTCCATTCAGCTCGATGACACATCAACCACATGGTAGCATCGAGAAACTACTTTCTAGTTGAAGCCGAGGTCTTTAAATCAAAGAAGAAGATATAGGGCAATCTCTCAACTTAGTGAAACATAGCTTAATGCGATAAGAGTTATCTGTCAACAAACGTTATCAAGTTCGATTTCATTCAACTCGAGGGCATCTCAACTGCAACGTAGCATCAAAGAACTACTTTTCGGTCATTTTTTCATACCCAAGTCTTTAAATCAAGAAGAAGACCAATGTCGACCGAGATTGTCGGCAAAGAGCCACTTTCTTATTCACATACGATTTCGACTTCACGACGAAGGATATCGTACCCAAAAGACTGACCCAACTTCATGATGAATGAGTCATATGTGACACAACAATGAAAAAAATTGTTTCATTCAAGTCGAATTTTTGCTTCACAACAAAGTATATTGGGCTAGAAGACAATCCAGTAGCTACTTTCCTAATGCTTTGAGATCAGATTAACGTCACAACAAGGGTTATCGAACTTAAGAGGTCCACGATTTCAACTTCACGATGAAAGAGATCGTGCTCAAGATTTTACAGTTCAAATCAACTTCACAACGAAGAAGTCACCCACGATTTCAACTTCAGGAAAAAGGATATTGTGTCCAATGGATCGACTTAGTGTCACAAAAATTTGTCATCCACCGACCAGATATCCTCATCACGCAGGAGCCGTGTCAACTTTAGATAACTAGCCGTCCTTATCATGTAGTAACCATGTTATCATCCCTAACGATGACATGTCATCCTCATCACACAAGAACTGTGTTATCCACCGACCAGATCTCCTCATCTCATGTAGGATCCATGTCAACCTTAGATAATCAGTTGTCCTCATCACATAGGAACCGTGTTATCATCCCTAATAATGGTATATTATCCTCATCACGTAGGAACCGTGTCATCCCTCGACCAGCCGTTCTCATCAGTAGGAATCGTGTCAACCCTTAGATGACCCGAACTCTTCATCACATTTGAGTAGTGTCGTCCCCCAACAACAAACACCATCAAATTTAAAGAAAAAAGAATCACACAAAAATTGGTTGTCTTTTTCGTCTTTGCTCTATTCTTGTTAACACAAGAATGTGCAAAGAGGGGCAGTTGTAGACACCTGTTTTTGCCCAGGTAAGAAAAAATATTAAATATATTATGTTATTATTATTATTTATTATTTATTATTATTATTATTATTATTATTATTTGTTTTTACTTATAATAAGTGTTTACTTTTGTAGGCTACCTACCCCAAACCACACAAATCCACAAAAAGCAATCAAATACCCCAAAGTCAAAAAGAAACATAAATTTGAGCCCATACCCCATTTGATATCAACCATAAATCAAGAGAATTTGGTAGAAAATGAAATCAAGCAAAAGGGAAAAAAAAGCAAGCAAGAAGACAAAGAAAAAATGGACAATGACATTCGGTGATGATTGAAAACAAAAGGAAAAAAAATTATTTAAGGGGGGCCTCGAACATAACGAAAAGGGGGAGGAGGAAAAACCAAAAAAAGGATGAGAGAATTTACCTTCGTCAGAGCTTCCACGCGTCATCATAAAACCGAAGTATCGAAGGTATCTTTTTTTAGATCTAGAGAGTTTGGGGAATTTTTAGGAAAAACAGAGGCTAGATTCGGGTTTAGTGGGATTTGGGCTTCGATTTAGGATATTTTGATATTTTCGGCCACCATGGGTGGTGGGGGTGTGGTAGCCGCTGGCGGCGGCACATGGTAACCGATCGTTGGTCGGTTTCCCTCCAGTGACAGAAAACTAGAGAAAAGGCAGAGAGAAATTTAAACTCTCTCCCTTAGAGAGAGAAAGAAAAATGAAAAATGAATGGGTTTAGGCATAAATAGTGGGGTTAAAGGCTATAAATACTCTCCCCAAAACTACGTCGTTTTGGGGAGGGATCTCTATGTAATTTTTAGAGTAGATAAACCCTTTCCGCAAACCTCTGCTTTTGTAATTTTTATATTTTAGTCACTGAATTTAATTTTCAGTATTTTAATTTAGATTTTGAATTTTATTCTGTTTACATTTTATTCACTAATTTATGTTTTTATTCGAATCTGGCCTAAGAATTTATGCATGTTTTATTTTGGTCACTAATGTAAATTATTTTCTTTTATTTTGGTCTTTTAATTTTATAATGATTTCATTTTAATCACTAATTTTGTGTGTTTGGTATTTTGTTTAATTAATGGGTGATCCTTTAACATTTTCTTCATTTCTTAGAATAAAAATTATTATTTTTATTATTTCCTAATTTTTATATTTATATTTTTATTTATTTTAGAAATTAATATTTTCTTAATTTTTATTTTAATATTTTTCTTAATTTTTATTTATTTCTCTTCTGACATTTGTTTTCATATTATTATTATTATTATTATTATTATTATTATTATTATTATCTTAAATTTTTTTATTTTTAAATTAATCTTCTAATTTTTTTTCTTTTTGTTTAGCATTTAATATTTTATTTTACCATCTAATATTTTATTTATTTTTTAGTAGTAATTTCAATCAATAAAAGGTAAGTAATTCGAATTGAATTTTTAAATTTCAATTTAAATTTTAATTTTTACAATTAAGACAACCGACAAATTAAATGGTACCGAAAGGGTAGTTCAAGGGTGCTAATCCTTCCTTGACTGTAACCGACTCCCGAACTTGTTTTAATTGAATCTTTGTAAACGCAGACCAGTTTTTTGTCTTAAAAATGATTTTCTTAAACTTATTTTTAAAAGACATTTTTAGGTATTCGACCTACCTAACCCAAAGGTTGATGGCGACTCTTTTTCAATTCTATCCAATTTAATTTCAAAATCCCTAATGTTTCAAAATTAAAATCGTAACTATTTTTTAAAACAATAAATAATTGTTCCTCCCAAAAAACGGTTATGACACCAAGAAACACCCTTCCAAAAATTGGCGTATACCGTGATTAGTGGAGAGCACACTGTATTCTCTAGTAAAATGCGAAATAATAGTCCGGTCTGTGATCACCCCATGGCTCCGTTAGTTTAAATGACAGCCACAAGTTGCTTTATAAACACAAGGAGAAGCTGCAAACTTGCTTTCCCAGTATGATGCGGGACTTGTGAACAGTCATTCTCTTTTTAAATATTATCAGCTTATTCTTTGTGCTTCTTGATATTAAATTCTGCTCTCTTTTAAAATTGAAGGAAAGAGCTAAGAACCTATAACGAATTCTTCAAATGAAATTTCCCGCAAGCTTAGAGGGGGAATTAGCAGTAACCATTTCTTTTAATTCAAATCTCAAGGTGTCTCCAAATCAATCTGGTTGGGGTAACATAATGAAAAACAAGATCGGATACAAAGTTTGCCATAACCACAAGGCCAGTTAATGTGTAGAAGCAAACACCAGTAATCAGAATCATATAATAATTCCAAATCATAAGAATGAACCAACAAAAAGAACAATGTTATTGCTTTTGTAATGCTGTAGCAGCAGAAATACAGTTTTGATGAATCGAGTTGTTGAACCATGTTCATAATGTTTTGATATAACAAACCAAGGCAAAATGATTTTGGACATGAAATGAATTTATTCAAAGTTTTCAAAAATAATTCAAAATCCATTAAAAGTGAATTTGAGCACAAAACAATTTTTCACGTTTGTAGTACCGATATTGTTCTTACAGTATCGATACTATATGAACAGTATCGATATTATTCATGTGGTACCGATACCCAATGTAAGAGAAATATTGATACTCTTATGGTAGTATCGATAATACCAACATTGCTCAAATTTCAGAATGCAAAAATGGTACTGATAACCAAAGGAGTACCGATACTACTTTACATAGTAGTATTGATACCATAGGCTTAGTATCGATACCGTCAGGCCCAACGGCTAGTAACAACTAGTTTTATTTAAAAATAACATCCCTATAGGAGTACATTTACCCTCTGTACTGAGCAGTTTTATTTTGCAGATAAAAACATTCCCAACGACTCCAAATCACTCCCAACGGCTAGAAACATCCACAAACCCATTCCAACATATAAATACAAGTTGAGAACACTTAAAGAAGGGTTAGAACACCTATCCAAGCAATCAAACACAAGAGAAGAGTTTTTCATTCCTATTTTACTTTATCTTGTAAATATTTTTTTCTTGTGAGCTTAATCTTTGTAAACACATTCATTTTTAGAGGTTTTCTTTGTTACATCTTTTTTTCTATAAAAGGGTTTTGGTTCTAGCTGAGCCTTTGAAAAGCTAGGGAGTTTTGTAAATGTTATCTCTTTGTCCTTGAAAAAGAAAGAACAAATTAGTAGATTTGTTGGAAAATCCTAAGTGAGGAGCTTAGGTAGTGGATGTTGACTTTGTTTGAGAAAGTCGAACCACTATAAATCCGTTTTGTAACTTTTTCTCTATCCCTTTAAATCTCCTTACTCCATAAAATTATCAAAAACACCAAATCACCCTTCTTGGCAACATTTTTGGTTGTCCAATTTGAGCTTCATAAATCCCAACAATTGGTATCAAATCTTGACTCATTAGAAGTTTTAACCACCTTGAGACGATCCTAGAAGAAACTCTACTGATTACCGACACAATTGACAAGAAGATGGATTCGACCTCCGGCCCTTACTACACTGAAGACTCTCAACCGGTCAACAAGCCACCTTACTTCAATGGAGCAAATTATGCCTATTGGAAGAATATGATGATTCTCTTCACTCAAGCAAATGATCTAGGAGTTTGGAACTCAATCATGAGGGGATACTTCATTCCACCCGGTGAGATGGATGATTGGAGTGATAGAGAGAAGAAGAAGTTCCAACTCAATGTTAAGGCTATGCTTATTATATTTTATGCATTATGCCTGGATGAATATGGAAGAGTCTCCTCTTGTTTCAATTCCAAAGAGATATGGGACAAGCTCCAAGTCACTCATGACGGAACAAATGAAGTGAGGGAAACCAAGATAAATCTTCTCAATCATAGCTACGAAAATTTCAAGATGTGAGGAAGATGATATACTCTCTTCCAAAGTCTTGGATATCGAAGAAGACGACGATCATTGAGGCTAAGAATCTAAAGTCTCTCTCTCTCATGATGAGCTTATTGGTTCTCTTCTCACTCATGAGTTGATGGTAAAGGAAGAAGGAGATGATGAAGAAAAGAAGAGCAAAAAGAAAGAGGTAGGCGTTGCCTTCAAATCCACCAATGAGAGAAATCAAGATACAAATGAAGAGGTGGATGAAGACGATGATGAAGAATAAGAGATAGCCAAGATCTTCAAAAGATTCAAGATATTCATGACTTCTAAGGAAGTGAAGCAAGAATCGAACAAAATGAAGAGTCCCCCGGTGTGTTTCAATTATCAAAGAATGGGGCATGTCAAGTATGAATGTCCCCTCCTAAAGAAGAATGGATCAAGCAAAAAGAAGGCATTTGTGGGAACTTTGAGAGATGAAGATGACTCCAATTATGAAGATGAAGTAGCCAACCTATGCCTCATAGCCATCAGAGAAGATTCAATGGTAACTTCTAACTTTAATGAATTAGATTCTTATTCTTTTGATGAGTTACAAGTTCCTTATAATGAGTTGTATTTGGAATTTGAGACCATGAATTCCAAATATAATAAATTAATTTTAAAATTAAAGTTGAAAATGATTTGATTTTGAAAGTGAAAATTGATTTTGAATAACAAAATGAATCTTTGAAAAATGATTTAGATCTTTTAAAAGTCAAAATCAATGATTTAGAAAAATAAAATTTTGATTTGAAAGTTAAGCTTTAGAGCTTAACAAAAGAAAAAGACTTCATTTATAAAAATAACTTATTATGTTTAAAAATGGCAAAATGCTCACATTGCCATTTTTATGGTCATATGGAACATGTTTGTCCTATAAAGAAAAGAAAATCTTTTAAAATTAGACAAGTATGGGTTCCTAAGGGAACAAGGGGCATTGAAACTAACGTTCAAGGATCCAAAGCAATTTGGATACCCAAATCTACTTAAATATCTCTTGTAGGTGTGTGGGAGCAATGGTGATGAAAGTGGAGATGCTCAAATGCTCTAGCCACGCTTGAAAAGGAATGGGTAACCTCTAAACTTGAAAGCTCTTTGATTTTGCATAATTTGTTGCTCATTTAGTTTATGCATGCATGAGTTTTGAGATTAAATGATTTTGTGTTGATTTTATATCTCATGTATGTTAAAAAGGTGTTGTGATGAACATTATCTAAAGTTTAATGATTTTCATGATTTTAGTTCATCATAATGAATTTTGGTCAAAATTAGTTTTAAATGCAAAATGTATCTCTCTAACAATTGATATCAATTTTTCAAATGCTTTGACTTTACAAATTTTAATTTTTGACCTAAATTTAAATGTTTATGCATGTGGTTTAAAATGCAAATGATATCTCTAACAATTGATATCAAAAATTTCAAATGCATAACATATTTTGATAGCTTTATACACATGCACTTAATTTCAACAATTGGCATTACATAAAGTATTTTAGACTTGGATCTATTGAATTTTATGCGTTACTAACATGTTTGTTATTCTTTGTTGAAATTCGATTTTTTTAAGTGTCAAGTTTTTTAAGTCAAATTTTGTTAGGAATGCTATTTTTGAGGGGGAACTTTAATTTTTCAAATTTTTTTAATGTCAAATTTATCACTTACTCTCCAATGTTATTTTAGAACTTTAAAGTTGAATAATTTTTTATATAACAAAAAGGGGGAGAAGTATGGTTTAAAAAAATCAATTTCTCAATGAAAAAGGAGGAGCTTTTAACATTTTCCAAAATATGTCTCTTTTTTCCCCTTTTAACATTTTCCAAAATATGTCTCTTTTTTATTAAAAGTTTTATTAAGGATGAGTTTTGCCAAAAACATTTTTTTTCAAATATTTTGTTATATCAAAAAGGGGGAGATTGTTGAATTGTGTTTATAAAGTTTTGATGTAACAAATTAAGGCAAAATGTTTTTGGACTTGAATTAAATTTTTTCAAAGTTTTAAAAAATAATTCAAAGTCCATTAAAAGTGAATTTGAGCACACAACAATTTTTCACATTCGATGTACTGATATTGTTCTTACATTATCGATACTATATGAACAATATCGATATTATTCATGTGGTATCGATACCCAATATAAGAGAAGTATCGATACTCCAATGGTAGTTTCGATACTACCAACATTGCTCAAATTTCAGAATGCAAAAATGGTACTGATACCCTAAGGGGTATCGATACTAATTTACGTAGTAGTATCGATACCATAGGCTTAGTATCGATACCGTCATGCCCAATGGCTAGTAACGACTAGTTTTATTTAAAAATAACAAAGGTAGTACCGATACCCACTGTACTAGGTAGTTTTATTTTGCAGAGTAAAACATCCCCAACGGCTCCAAATCACTCCCAACGGCTAGAAACAACCACAAAATCATTCCAACATATAAATAAAAGTTGATGACACTTGAAGAAGGGTTAGAACACCTATCCAAGCAGTCAAACATAAGAGAAGAGTTTTTCATTTCTATTTTACTTTCTCTTGTAAATATTTTGTTCTTTTGAGCTTAATCTTTATAAACACCTTTTTTAGAGGTTTTCTTTGTTTACATCTTTTTCTTTGTAAAGGGGTTTTGGATCTAGCTGAGCCTTTGAAAAGTTAGGGAGTTTTGTAAATTTTATCTCTTTGTCCTTGAAAAAGAAAGAACAAATTAGTAGATTTTTTAAAAAAATCTTAAGTGAGGAGCTTAGGTAGTGAATGTAGACTTTGTTTGATAAAGTCGATCAACTACAAATAGTAATGCAATTTTTTCTCTATCCCTTTAAATCTCGTTACTCTCTAAAATTATCAAAAAGCTAATTCACCCCCCTCTTGGCAACATTTTTTGTTGTCCAATTTGAGTTTTGTAAATCCCAACACGAGTGTTGTCAGCTGTGAATATCTAATATGCATTAAATACTCTGCCACTCACTTTACTTGTTGACAAGTAAATTTGTTGGGAAGA